ACACATTACCCGAAGATTCATTGCTTTGAATTTGAACCAAAAAGATATATGATGTTAACACACTGCCAAATGACATGTTGCTTCTTTTCCTTGTTTCTTTTCCATCACTAGTTTGATCCAGAAAGTTGGATCCAGAGGGGCCTTCACTGAGATTATGGTTTAACCAAGTGCATAATGTCTACTTTCGAAGACTCCCTTAATCACTATAACCTGTATGATATAATGCTATAACCTGTATGATATATTGCCTTGTCTGGTCCACGAGGAACTGCAAGAGTAGTAGTTAAGAGAGATGAGCAAACCAGGGCTGAAAGACCAGGCTCTGAGACCGGGAAAGAAGCTGCTGAAGTGAAAAGCAAGGCGACCAAAGGCCTTGGGGAGAAGTAGAGTTATAGAGTTAAGAAAGCAAGCTAAGAAGCCGAAGGCTAATAAAAAGAAGAGTCGACTCTCCCCTGGGACTGCAACTGGAAAGGTAGGAGTGAAATTTGCTCTGCTGGTGGAATTCTCTTTCAGCTCTTACTGGCTTCGTCTCGTACTCTTGTTTTAGCTACAGCACCCGCATTAACAGAAACTAGTCCTATCACTAACCTCCCTAATTCTCATTGCCTGGTCAGCGTGAAATCAAACTATCTGAGAGGATCAACTGCTTTGGCAGCTGGGGCCATCACTTTAGAGCATCCTATTCCCCACTAATCTATTCAAACTCCAGCGATGGAATGGCAACCAAGAGGAGGCCCCATAAGCTTCGAAGTTTCTAGGGCATATCAGTTACTTCCTTCCAGGGCAGACTGACCTGGGGCCGCATCCTTGGCTCGCTGAAACCCATATACCAGTCTGCTTCACTGCTGTCTGATATCCCCATCTCTCTTTCTTACCTACCCTCTCAACTTCCCGTTGGGATATCACAGAGCAAATCCTATACTCTAGCTTTCATTCCCCGCTAGCTAACTTGCCTGCGCTTGGAGGTTCGAGCACAACAAAGAGCTGATTTACGGAATTTCTTCACATCTGTCTGCTTTCAACTCAAGCATGAAAAGTCAGTCCTTTCTTAGATTTTGATAGAGACAAAGATCTTTAAGCTAAAAACTGGAGTTTAGGGTGCCTATAATATGAGGTCTGAAACCATATTTGGTTTGAATCTCACGTGCCTATTGGTGACTTTAAATGCCAAACAAAACATCAATTTCCAAATTCAAAGCTTTGATTTTTTATACAAGTGGTAAGAGTTCCTTTTATTAGTCTTTATTACAGCAAAATCTACATAGGCCTTGGACTTGACTGATTCATAAATCTAGAGGAACCAGTGGAAGATACAGAAGAGAGGTTCTTGACCAGAGGGACGAGTGACTGAACAACATCTGTCATTAAAGGTCGATAATCTGCTTCTGGTTGCACGCACACTGCTGCAATAGCAGCTACCTGTGAGAAAACAACAGCGTTCACCAATTTAGTTGAAAGTTTTAGCTTTAGGGATACGTCAAGATGCTGAAAGGATTAGAACTAAGAGGCAACCTGAATCAAATCCTTCATTAAATACTGGCCTTGCAATGCTGGATCAATCATTTCCATTACCTTATCTCTGTTAGTTAGCCGTGGAAGAGCCTGCGAATTCATATAATAACAGGAACTCAGGAATTTGTAGCTAACAAACTTGGAAAGTCCTTACTGCTTATCTATCATAGCTAGCTAGTGCATTTTTTACAGTGGATAAATGGTTGGTGAACTAACCCAGGAGACAAGAACATGTTCACCGGAGGGCCGCTTGGTATCAATCGGTATACGACCAGTTAAGATCTGTAAAAGGACAACTCCGTAGCTGTATACATCTGATTTTGTGGTAAGCTTTCCAGTTGAAGCATACCTAAACATGACAGAAAATAATCAAGCATTAACACAAGGAGCTTCAGAACCAGCTAATTACTTTCAAGTACAATTTTTAACTTGTTGGTTGATGAAATCATTTGATGTTATCCCAAGATATGTGGTATCAATAAACTTGGCAGTGAAACTAATTAAAAACCTAATGTAAAATTGTCTTTTGAGCATGACCTTTTGCTTTTCATAACAGTCAGAAGATGAAGAAAATGACATGCTGCCTTTTGGGAAATTTCATTGCCATGTGCAATCTTATATGACAATTGACAATGCATTGATATTGTTTTTTCATTCAAAAGGAGATGCGAGACAGATGATGGATCACTCACTCTGGTGCTAGATAACCAGTGGTCCCCAGAACACGCGTCAAATTCTGACCATTGATCCTGTCCGAACCCATCTTAGCCAATCCGAAATCAGAAACCTTAGCCCTGAAATCTTGGTCTAGTAAAATGTTACTACACTTGAAGTCACGGTGGATAACTGCTGGGATAGTATGCTCATGAAGGAACTCCAGGGCCCTAGCACAACCAAGGGCTATCCTCAATCGTGTCCCCCATTCCAAAGGTCGATATTGCTTGTGATGGAGATGGTGTTGAAGACTACCATTATGCATAAATTCAAATATTAGGAGCCTATGGTTTTGGTCGGCACAATAACCAAGTAGATCCACCAGGTATGGTGAGTGCAACCTGCTTAGCAAATCTACCTGCAATATGGAGATAGAAAATGGCACAATGTATCACACCCCATGTGCAAGGTTTGGTAGCATTCAAATACATATGAGTAGGTACCTTGATAGATAGAAATATTTATGCGGATTTCAAGTTCTACAAGCAACTTTTCTCTTAAATTCTTATTGACTTTGCAACCCCATTTGAGCATTTGAAGTTTTGACTTTAAGCCTCTCAGGTCATTAGACTTTAATGGCAAATATAGAGTTTGGGAAACAGGAAGATAACAGACCAAGAAGAGAGGCCAGATGGGGCCAAGAGTTAATAAATGAAATCACTTGCCTCTACCCTGAATGCCCGCTCTCCTTGCTTCCCTTCTCTATGGAGCATCTTAATTGCAGCCACAGTCCCATCACTTAGGGTACCTCTATACACCACTCCATACCCTCCATTCCCTATCACATTTGATGCGCTGAATTTGTTTGTGGCAATCTCAAGCTCTTTGTATGTGAAAACTTGGACTCCTTTGTATTTACTTGGAGGCTTATGACCCAAATTGCTTCCATATAGACATCCACCGTTAACATCTGCCATGTTTCCAAACATACACAGCACAAGAGAAAATATGCATGAACCAAGTAATTCACATTTTAAGATGATTAGAGATAAATAAAATGCTCTTGATAAATAAAATGGTCTTGAATATTAGATGTTGAAAATTTACTTCCAAACACAATGAAAATCAAAATGAATAAAAATCATAGTAAGAACTTTGACATGGAGCAATTACCTGGGCTTGAAGTGAAGCTTATGGTGTTATGAGCAACGGACTTGCTAGTGTTGCAACTGCTCAAGTCTCTGCAACTGCCTCTATTCTTAGAAGATTTGAGTCTTCTTAGCATTGCTATAATAAGAAAGATTGTGAGAACTAGAACAACAGAAATAGTTGATATGATGATTATAAGGATAGAGGTGGAAGAGAGGATGCCGTGATGGTGAACATGGAGTTGAGAATGCAAGCTATGATGCTTAATGGTATGGTTTCTATGTGACTTTGCAGATTCACCAGTGGTGCTAGGTTCCATGAGCACAAAGAGCAAGAAAGAAAAATGAGAGAGAGAGAGAGAGAGAGAGAGAGAGATGGGAATGATAATGTGTGGTGCAAGGATGTATAAGAGAGGGTTGAGTTTCCCTTCCTAGGAGGTCACATTGCCTAGGCTGACACAGAATTCCACTAGCTATCCCTCTCTTGCTCGTGAGTACTGAAGGTCTTTTGTGTACTTCATTCGTCCCTTCTTTTGTATTTTCTAAGGAGAAGTCATTGTCGCTATTGTAGCAGGAAAAGATTAGAACCTTTTGCACCATTTTCACTTCTATACTCATTAGCTCAATCAATACATATGTTTGACTTCTATCCCTAGTTGGAGCTGATAATGCTGATTTCTTAAGCAATGGCATAAACCAAATTTTGTCGTAACCCTAGGCATGCAATTTCCGCAAGGCTAAGTTACCACATAGGTCAGAAATTCCTTATTATGGTTGAGGCTGTCTTGCAGGATTATTCCAAGAATTGTGATCATAGACTTATCTGTTGCATTGAATTCAGGGAAACCAGAAGTACTCCGTGATCAAACAGCCATAGCCCATATGTAAAATATTTTTAATTTACAGGAAGATTGCTAGTCAGTGAAGCTAAAATCACGTCCTTTATCCGATCCCTCTCAAGAGTCAAGTTGCCTTGCCAAATATTTTGATTTTTAATGATACTAGAACACAGCTCATTTTCTACTACTATAGTGGATTAGACCATTGGACTCTTCACCTTAGTTAAATTGGTGTCATAAATTTTCCTTGTACCTAAAATTCTGCTCCTCCTCCCCCACTTGAGCATTGAGAAAGACAGCAAGACCTGGCCTCCCACCCCCCACCCAACCCCAGCTATAGCAGGATATCACTATCTGCATGGGCTGGGCCTGTCCCTTTTTTCTTCCATGTCTCCAAAACAGGGACCCTCCAATCCATGAGATAGAGATAATTAAGAGCTGTGAATGCTCATCTGCCAGTCACACAGGTCATGTGGCAATCACAATTTGATACAAAACTGCAAGCCTGTGGTTTAGGAAAAGAAATAAATTCAAGTTGGGACCGGGTCCGATATAATGAAACGAAGTTAGTGCTATACTACAATGCCATCTCATGTTACCTCTATCAGAAAAGCCATTCAAATTTCAGATCCAGTATGATATTCTCACCTACCTAAACCACCAAGTTGCCATCTTCTTACGTCAAGGGCTCTGGCATTGATCAATGTCAATGGTGTCGTCAAATGCTAGCTAAAGAGACCAGTTTACGTTTGCAAAATGGAACCTTTGATTGGCGAACTGACCATCAATATATACAGAATTTTCATGCAAAATCTTAGCATTAACCATCCTACCTCTTCCAATTGAATAGCCGTATAAATTTCCACATGTTTGCCATTCCATTAAACAAAACTGTTACACAATGTGACATGAAAGTAAATATTAGTACATTAACTTGTAAGCAAAACCAACCGGATTCCCATTTTTGTAGGAAAGCTAGACATGTCCTTCGACAATGCTTTATGCCTAGCCAAAACAGGCAACTCAATAGCCTGGCAATGATTCTATTGGCGGGTGCATAGCTACAGTTATCCACTTCATTTACAAGATTTTACAGTTTCATCAATCATCTGGGAAACCAAGAAACGTGTTCATAAGCTTGGCAACCAGTGTGGCATCACCTGATGGGTACGGAAGGAGGGACTCCACATTCATATCAGATATTGTCTGATGAAGCGTTTGAGGATGAGCACAATAAAAATGCTTCCTCTCTGCTAGTTCTTCTGCAAGTTCACTTTGATTATTGTCCATCAAATCTTCATTTACCACTACAATTAGAGGTTTACCAAGCTGCAGAGTTTCATAAATGCTCCCAGACCCTGCCCAACAGATAGAACCAGTTAGTGACCACTCCAGCATCCAAATTAAGCGCTTATCACTGTGGTAGCACATAGTTACCCGACTTTTTTTTATCTCAAAGATTTTACCTTGAGATAGACTTCACTAAATTATGAAGACATCAATGCATATCAAGACATCGTATAGCTTTGACCAGCTTAAAATTTTCCCCTTCCATTCCCTCCCAGCTCTTCCCCTCTTTCATGTAAAAAGTACGGATTCTCTAGAACTTTCCAGGTAAAAACTGAAAAAGCCGCAGTGCAACATCACAATCACCCGATTAATAGTTAATCTGAAAAGTTCCAGTTGACATTCAGCAACCAAATTAGTAAAATTTATCTTTACTTTAAAGAAGTTAAGCATTCTCCTAAATACTCACAGGCACATGATAGGCTACATTTACCAAATAGCAGAGAGCCTCAATTATTTCGTGAACCACATTATATCGGCAACTCTCTCAATGATCTGCATCATTACAGATAAGAATAAAGCAGTAAAATGACTTTGACCAGTTTACCACTTTTGTGGACACAAAAGGGCGGGAATAGAAATCCTTATGGGCTATAAAACAAGTTCAAGGAGCACAAGGTATCTACCTCATTTTGAATAATGAAACTTTCTGTGTTGATGATTCTAATGATGAAATCTGCAATTTTCCTCCAGATAGGTACTGACAATGATGTTTCCCCATGTTTACTAATTCACATTATTTCAACTATTGTCTAAAACTTTCAAGTCCTAGCCTATGGTGCTGTATACTAGAACAGAACCTGGCTTAACCTCACCAGCATTTTGCTGCCAGGTAATCCTCAATTGCTAAAAAAAGGTACATTTTACCAACATTTTCTGTCATGCTAAAATATAATAGTTTGTGAGAGCTTAGGTGTGAATAATATAGTAGTAGTAAAGTGGGAATATAACCCTGACATCCACCGAATATCAAAGATAAATAATAGCTTACCTGCATGGCTGATGACAGGAGATGCTGATCTCAGATGGTCTGCAATGCTTGGAGAAAAAGTGGAGTAATCAACAGCCAGAGATCCATGTTCTCCATCACACTGCATTTAAAAGGAACTTGTAAGAAATGTGAAGAAAGCATGAATTTGAAGAGTGATATGTCAAAGGAAAGAATCAAGTGGAAAAGGAAAGACCCAATAGTCCCAAAAAACCCAACCTACTAAGAATCTCATAAACCCAAATTATAAGCCTTCACTAAAGGAAGATGTAGTTAGGCTTGTGATAACGGATGATTCTGAGTAGTCATGATCTGCCACAACTAGATGAGGATTTATCCCAGACAGATTACGTGGAGGACCAAGCAGATACAGTTATGGACCCGTGGAACAGGTTAAGGCTCAAGAGGAGGTTTGATCATGCCAAACCAGAATAACAATTTAAAAGAGCCATAACTTTTGATACGACCATTGAATCGCGTTTAAATTTTTACAGGAATTTTCAAAAGCCATTTTCCTGAGTAGCCAAAGAATCACTATTTTGACCATCAGATCTTTAGATTTTAAAAATCTCGCCCCGAGACCTCGGTTTTGGTAATTTTTGTAATTTTCCTTGTTATTTTTGGATTTCATGATTCTTTTCTTTGTAATTTTGGATTTTTATTTTGTTTCCTAGTTGATGTTGGGTTTCTAGCCTATTTAAGACTTTGTAAACCTCCTAAAGAGGAGGGCTTGAGGATTGTTATTATAAAGACAATAAAACCTGCAAACTTGGGGTGCACATCTGCAGCCCTTTCACTTATTAAAATTCTTGTGTTCTTTCTTTTTTTATTGTTGTCTTTAGCTTTTGCCTGCTTCAGTTATCTCAAGGAGAGAAGAGCTGATACAAGAATTTAAGTTAGAGCCAATTATCCAACATATTTATGACAAGACATCTCTATAAAAATCCCTCCCTCACCCTCAGGAATCAAAAACTCAACATCTGATCAAACCAAGAAGGACAAATGCAAGAGTGAAAGGGGAATGAACTATAAGAGAGAATACCTTAGTAGGAGTGTAGGATCCTCGACCCATTTGAATAACAAGGTCGGTATACCCTTTTCTTAATAACTCTTGTTTGACTTCCTTAGTATCCACTGTTCTCACTAGATCATCAAACAATGTAATTCCTACAGTTACAAATACCACTTTCTTCTCTTGCTTCACTATATCCCCGGAATCTCCCATTTTACCTTGTCTGGTGATTTTTCACTATCCAACCAACTACAAAACCCAAATAAAAACCCAAGGAACACATTACAAAACAAGTACGAGTGTCTTCATTTAACTTCTCGGCTCCTTATACTTGCACATTTCCATATTCACATTCTACATGTTGAGAAAATTATAATTATAATCTCACATCTTATTTCATTCTTAGATAAAAAGAAAAAGGATTAGAAGATCAAATCATAAAATTAGCAAGACTGTACAAACTATAGATATGTAGAATTCCAAAAATTAACATTGTATCATATATTAAGCATGAAGTTAGAGAATAATACCTTACACATTTTTAAGTAGCATTTTAATCACCAACCCATCATTAACAGCAGGGCCGATTCTCATAAAAATAACCAAAACGTTAACTTCAAAGTTCAAATTCACACTAAACTCAAATTTCACATCTAGTTAATCAAGGTGGAGGAATTACAAGTTACAACTCAAACTACTTCTTCCTTAAAAATTGAAAATTTATGTTTTTTTCATGTTAAAGTTTCCTACCTGACAGATTAATATGTTTTCATATTGCAACGAATTAAATTTCACCAAATGGGAATTTAGAAACAAGATTATATATCTAGCAAAACCCACAACTTGAAACCATGAGAAATAATATAATTCTATATCCATATCTCATTCCACATTGAATTCAATTACTAATTAGACACTAAAATTCGCTTCAAAGGAACAAAAGGAAGATTGAAATGAATGCAGATGATGATAACAGAAACTGGGTTTTCTGTATTTTGCTCATTTTGATAGTAAAGTTTAATCTTTACATCTCTTGATAAGTCAAAAATGCAATCCTAATGACAGTGAAAACAAGGAAAAAAAAGGGTTTTTGAGTTTGGGTTACCTTGTTTTGATGGAAGATGAATTAGCCTCAGCCTTTGTATTCTTGATTCTGTTTTTCCAATTCAATTAGGCAGCTCCTTCGACAGAGAGAGAGAGGGACAGAGACAGCTAAAAGTGGGGAAGAGGTGACTCTGTTTTGTCATTGGTTACACGTTGTTCATTATTTGAAAGTAGGGAAACCTTATATTTGGTCCTTAAACTAAACATTTATTCATTTGGGTCTCTCACATGCTGGAATTTCTTGGTTGAGTACCATATTTTAAATCCATTAATAAATTGCATTTAGGATGCATATTTTGTACGATAAAACATCACTAGGTTAAGGACCATTTAACATTTCTTTTCCTAAAAAAATCTGCTATAATTTTAAAATGGTGGACAGTGGACCAAATTGGAAAATTATAATCATTGAAGATCTGATTAAGAACATGTTTTAATTTACTACCTACCCTAATTTGGGTGCAGATAGTTTATCCTTGACAACAGAGTTAGGTAATACATTGTGAGGGTGTTAGCTTCGCTGGGAGGTGCTATCATGGCTGGTCATGGAGAAAATGCAGCTGACAATGTCGTTGCTGATGCAATTAATGAAGTTGATTACCATGCAGATGGAAATGAATATATAGATAGTGATGATAATGGTTTTGATGAATTTGAGGTTGCTAGGCCAGATGTTAATGTAGTGGATGATGATAAGGACTGTTAAGAGAATGAAGAGAATGAGGCTGATGAGGAGAAATATGATAATGAAGAGAATGATGGTGGTGATTATTATGCTCAGGATGAGGAAGAGATTGAGGTGGAAAGATTCATTGATGAATCCTCCGAGGATGAGGACATATTTTGAAGTGCAAGTTAAATTGTCCATGATGAATCTAACAAAACCAGTGCTCATAACAAGCCTAGAATCCCAAGACAGAATGTTAAGGAAGCATTGAATGAAGCGGATGATGATGATGGGTCTGATATTGGAAAAGTAAGAAATTAGAATCTCCATATGAATTTGGAGATGAAAAATTGAAGAGTTTAATACTGAGAAGGACATGTCCAATCCATACTTTAAGAATGGTCTCAGATTTGCCAACAGAGATTATTTAGGGAAGTGTTAAGAAGGTTTTTAGGTGTTCAGATGCTTGAAGGATGACAAGTATAGAGTTACGGCTAAATATAAGGAGAGGTGTGGCTGGAGGATTCAGGCTGCAAAGTTTGGTAGGAGACATTCCAGGTTAGAACATGTAGGCGAAAACATGATTGTGTCTGGCATTTCAAGCACAGAAATGTTGGGGGGGATGGTTAGACCAGAACCATGTAAAGCCTTTTGGAGATGATAAGGACTGGAAGTTAGAGGCCTTTATAAGGGATATCAGCAGGGATTTTTAAGTAGGGCTTTCATGTCTACTGCGTATAGGGCAAGAAGGGCGGCTCTAGAAGAATTGTTGGAGATCACAAGAAATTATGTTAACAATGAAGCTATCCCACCAGCACCAGGCTTGAATCCTGTTTTTGAGAGTGTTTATTGGCTATGCAGGACAAATGCAAGGCTTTCTTGCTTGTAGATCTCTAGCATAGATGGAGCTTTTCTGAAAGGACGTTATGGCGGTCAAATACTCTGTAGTTGCAAGGGATGCTAGTGACAATTTCTACCCACTTGCAATGGCAGTTGTGCTACAGGAGTCACGTCAAAGGCAACCTGGCTGTGGCTTTTACAGCATCTTTTCACTGCTATTTGACCTGCAGAGACAATTGGATGAAGTATTATAGCTCCTACTTGTTATGTTTTTTTAATATATGTTATTCTATATTTTAACCGTACATTTGATTAAGAACATCATAGTTTTGTCAACCTGAGGTAAATTGGGTGATTAGCACGTAAATTTAAAAAAAAAATAGGTGAATTAATAAAACAACAAAGACATTTGACAAAATAGCATATTTTTACTTGTTAAGACGTTTAAAAACTGCAACATCAATTATTTTATAAATGGAACCAATCAAACTGCATGAAGAACTGAAACTACAAGAACTCAACTAAAAACGAAAGCCTGGATATCATGCAACAGGTAACCTTAGCAAAAAAAAAATACCCTTTAAAACAATAATATCCTTTGATTTTAAAAAAAGGAAGCAAAACTAAGGAAAACAGCGAAGATAATAACGGTGGACCTCTTTTCCGGGAGGAATCGATTATGAAGCATCAATTTCAAGCTTTCTCACCTTCTTGTTACTCTAAAATTATTTATTTTCTTTTGTCCCAACCCATAATTTGTTGTTGTGTGTTATAGTGGTGGTGGAAGAGGCGAAGAGGTTACTATTTATGGTGGTGGTGGAGCAGGATGGTTGGGGATGGAAAGATTATTTCTATGATTTTTTAACAGGTATACTGTGTTGTGCATCTTTGAGCCAACTTCAGAGATACAGGGCACAGAGGGGAGCATCTTGACAGCATTTCAGCAAGACATGACAGAGTTTCAACAATCCAGATGGATGCAACATATGGTTTGCAAAGGATCGAATTTCAACGAAGACAAATATACGCAATTTGCACACGGAATGTAGAAGACAGAAACTGAAAGGAAGCTACTCCAGAGCTCCTCCCTGCCAGGGGCGGAGGCAGGGGGGGCAAGCAGGGTCCGGGCCCCCTCAAGACATTTTAAATATACAAATGCTGAGAGATTAAGAATCGCTAAACCAATCATCATACATGAAAAGAAAAGGAGTCAATATGAAATACAATGTACAATGCAATTACAACACAGATACGTATGAAAAGAATTGAACTTTAAAAATGAGTTTCAATCATAAGCAACAAAATGAAAACCAAAGATACAAAATGCACCTGGGACACAATGAAATTAGGTAATTAAGTGTTAGCTGGAGGTGTTATATTTTTTTATTTTAAAAAGGTGGGCCTGCTTTTGATTTTTTATTTACTCATTACCGACGTGAAAAGACAAAAAAAAAGATTAGTATCTTGTGTAGTACTAATATAAATTTTATAGCTGATAAAAACACAAATAAAAATATAAATTAGAAGTAAAAAAATTTATAAAAAAATTGAAGTAGAGCTATTAATTAATTAATTTTTCATCAAATAAAACAAAGTAATTTAAATTTAAAATCCATTTTTATTTTATTTTAAAATGTTTGTTAATAATTTAATGAGGTTTTTTTATATAATTCTATCATTTTTGTTTATTTTTTTTTCTCAAATATGCTAGTTCTCTCTATTACTTTTTGAATTCTTGCTATAATGATTTTTTTCTAATTAATTAGATATATTTTATTGGTTTTGTTTTGGTTATGCTTAGATTGTTTTATGTTTTGTTTTAAACAGAGCCGGCAAAATTATTAATTTTTTCATGTTTTGATTTTAGAACATGTCATCCAATCATCCAAAGTTAAAAAAGATATCATCGATTACTAAGGATTGATTGAAACAGAAAAATCAACAATTTATCTATTAGTTGATAGGTTGATTCGATTTATTTTGACTCTTTTTATTTGTACAACAACTACTAAACAAGTTTTTTCAATGATAAAGATTATTAAAACAATACTTCATGATCAGATGGAGAATGATTTTCTTGTAAATTATTTCATTGTTTATATAGAAAAAAATTGCTAAAAGATTCACAATTAATATAATAATCAATGATTTCTATTTTATAAAAAAACGACGAGCACAATTAAAATAAATATGTAAAAATTATTCTTTATTATTTTTTGTTTTATTTTAAAGTTTCGCAAGCATAAATAATACTTCGGTTTAGCTAATATTTCTTATATACTTTATATGTTTATACTTGATAGATATAAAGATTAATAATATTAAAATAATAAATACATTATAAAAATAAAATTAACTTCATTACATTAACTCAATTTGGTATTGCTCTAAACCTTTACATTATAATAAGATTATTATATGTTTATATTATTATATGTTTATAATAAGTTATTTAAATAAAACTAAATTATACAAGTTTTGTTTTATAATTCATATATAATAAATTATAATAAATATTATAACTTATTATATTAATTTTAATCCTCTCTAGTACATAATTTTGGCTGTGCCCCTCTCACTACTCTATGAAATCTGACCAAAACAGAGCTCTTACCGTATGAGGATGCAACTAAACAAAATAATTACTCATTAATATTGCCAATGGTAACACGGTTGGGAGATGACAGAGATGGCATGGATAACCTCATCCCTTACATCACCAACTTCCACCATTTTATAAGCTAGAAAATCAGTAAATGCCAATGAAATATTCCGTAGGCATGAAGATTCAATCAGCATTTTTAATGCTAATAGAATAAACGATAGAACACTATTATTGAAAACTTCTCTCGACCAGATTTTCTATTTCGTCAGCACAGCATTGTCGTCAATGTTTCTATTTTATTTTTGAAAAAAATGGGAAAACTCTGCATTTTCAAAGCTAAAGGATCTTCAGGGGCTGTGCCCACAGCAAACACAGCCGACCCAAGTTCAAGGACAGCTTCCTACGGATCATAACAGGAGAAAGAAATGCACAACACTGGAATGTGACGAATTAAGTCAATTCCATCTAAAACAAACTCTAAAATACAAATTATACATTAATACAGCAAAACTATTATCATTAAATAGATAGAACACTTGAATCAACATACAAGCTACAAATTTTAATAAATTAACTTTAAATTTAAACGGGTATTGCAATAAAAATGGATGCGGTGGTTCTTTGCCTGGTGAAGTAAAGCTCGACAAAAATAGAATCAAGGAAGGGAGGTTGTGTCATTGCTGACAGGTTGAGCGGCTGGATTTTAGATTGAGCTGTTAAAAATTCGAAGAAATGGGGTTTGAATTGAAATCATAAAAGAAGAGGAAGGGATTGGAGGGGAGGGCTTTCAGGTTTTAATTCCTTTTGAAATTATTGATGAAAGTTTCATCAGCGAGTTGACAAGTTAGAAATACCAAAGAATTGCCAAAGAAGAAAAGGAAGA